CGGAGCTGGGCAGCATGAAGCAGTCCTTCAGCGGGGTCAGGATGTCCTCCACCGTCTTACTGCGCAGCATCCCGCGGCTGAACTCCTCCTTCACAAACTCACTGGGACAGAACACAGAGTAGATGAGACGTGGAAAACATAAAAAGGTTTTGAATCAGAATCAGAATTCCTTTATTAGTCCCGCAGCGGGGACATTTACAGTGTTACAGTAAAAGTGGCATAGCGGGTAAAAAATGCATGCAATAATAAAGAGTAAATACATTTAATATGTATATATATATATATATATATATATATATATATATATATATATATATATATATATATATATATATATATATATATATATATATATATATATATATATATATATATGTTCATTTTAATTCATTTCTTATTTTAAAGTTACTTAACTGTATAACATTTTATTTTTATCTTTGATTTTATCTTTAAATTGTATTCATCTCTAATCTGTGCTGTCCTGTTTTCCATTCTTACCCTGTTGCTGTTAAACTACTGGATTTCCCCACAGGGATTAATAAAGGTCCATCTTATCTTATCTTATCTTAATCAATTTTAATCATCATACAACCTAAAGAAAACAAAAATACATAGATCAAAGCATACAACAAACAAATAAAGTAATAAACATTATAATAAAACAACCACGTTTAGGACCTGTTAAAGGGCCCCATCTAAATGTTATAGTACCCTATAATAAAGTAAACAAAGGTTTACCATCTTGACTTTAATATTTGAACTAGCTTATTTAACATTTAAAGGAAGGCAATTACAGAGATAAGGGCTCCAGAGACGCAGATTGTGATATGCGTGTCTTTATTTACCTGTAAGGGTCGTTGACACTTGTGCGGATCATCTCCATGGCCCTCTCCCTGATCCCACAGGTGGTGATGTCCCTCCTCAGCGCCAGGTCCAGGATCAGCCCCAGGGGGCAGGACAGGGGGAAGGTGAGCACCAGACAGACCTGGGCCAGCCAGGTGAGACCCGGCGCCAGCTGGAAGCCGTACCCGGAGCACAGGATGTGAGGAGCAAGCTCAGCCAGGAGGAAGATGAGGAAGCCGCTGGTGAAGACGGCGGAGAGGATGGAGCCCAGCGCCCGGTACAGGAGGACCCCGAGGACCGAGTGGCCCAGGACCGACAGGAAGAGCAGAGAGCATGCCTGGGGAGAGAGGATACAGAGAAATACATTTAGGGTGAGAAACTCAAACTCAGCTGTTATATTCTTAATCCACAATATGGCTTCATCCTTACAAAACGTTTCTTTCCATCATGCGTACTGTTTTTACAGACTTAACACTTTATAGGGCACTATTAGGTTAACCCTAACCCCAACGCGTTTTAGGCCTCTGCTGATTGGTCAAATTCCCCAATGGCGCGCTCTGTGGCGTAGAGTGATCTTTGCTGATTGGCTGGGAGAAGACCACATGCTTCTCGACCTCACTGAGGGACGCCATGTTTGGTGTGTGCGGAAGTTACCAAATATGGTTCCTCGCCCGATAAAGGGTTAACTGTCTTATTTAAGTGTAGGAGAGAATGTGCATTGACAGTATTTTATTTAATGCCTAGCCTCTTGCAGAGTTATGTGTTGTTGTCTTTTATTGATAAAGGTGAGACACTACAGGCAAAAACATTGTACAATTTTGAGTTTGGACTATGTTTGTTCCATAACATGTCTTTCTTTCAGACTAGCGAAAATAAAACATCCAAAACACATTTTGATGTTTTTTTCCTCTGTCTACTAAATCCCTCAAAATTAAATATTCTGAAATGTGTAATACACAAATTCTCTGTATGTATGAAATAACTAGATCACTTTGAAAAAGAAGGAGAAGAATTTTACAAAACTATTTATAAAAAGGTAGTATTCTCAAAATAATGTCTTTCTCGTACTCTGAGCCAGAATTCTTCACATCAGTAGCACTTACAAACTTTCCAGTTTCACTCCCATCTATTTTGTCAAGGTTTTTACAAAAGGGGTTGGTAATATGTTATTAATAGCCTGAATAATGACACATTGTATCCTTAAAAAACATGGCACAAAGTATATATTGTTACGTGGCTGTTAATAGTATCTTTGATTTGGGGAATGATACAAAAAGATACCCAGGATCCCCTCTCTAAAAACCTTGATTTGTCATTTCAAAATGTCAACAAAACCAAAAACTTTTAACATTTAAAGTTTTGGATCTGGCTTGTTCAGATTATCTCTGTGTATGCAAATTATGACACATACATTTTCAATATTATTCATTATTATAACAAGATTAGTTGTATTAATGTAGGCAATAACCTTGGGAAGAGTCATAGTAATACCCTAACAGCTGTCCCGACTCTGCCTGCTCATATGTGACTTTCCCACCTTGTTTTCAGAAACTTACCAGGAAGTTCCCTCTCCTCCTGATGGGCTCCAGACGCTTGGCGGCCCGCTTCTCCTCCTCGGACCCGCAGCTGTGGAGCACATACAGCTCCACGGGGTCCAGCCACAGCAGGCTGAGGTTCACTGTCCTCAGCAGTCCGCACACCAGCAGCAGCAACACCACCAGCACCGCCAGCCCCCAGGGCGGGATGTAGTCTGCGGGCAGCCCGGTGTCGGTGTTGATCCGCAGCCTGTCCGGGCCCGAAGAAGCCCATTTCGCCCCGCTCAGCACGCACAGGTGGTAGTAGGACTTCCCGCTGCCGACCCCCGCAGAGATGCTCCTTTTTCGGACCTCCACCGTTATGAGCCCGCTGTATTTCTCATCCGGGGTGAACACCCCCGTTACCTGGAAGGCAGACTGCCCATGGCTGGACTCCTGTCCGCAGGGGTCAGGCGCATCCCCGACCGCCCCTGCTGCTCCGCCAGCTGCCCCAGCGAACGCCACCCACGGCCAGCTTCCATTCAGCTCAGTCCCGTAGAGACGGAGCTTGAACGTGGCTCCTTCTGGCGCCGAGATGATGCGGTCCTTCATGCACACCAGGCCCGCCGGGTTCTCCAGTCGCAGCCCCAGCACCAGTGGAGCCTCTTGGCTGCAGGCGCCGTACCTGATCCCGCAGAACAACAATATCTTCAACAGGAACCATAGACCTGCCAAGCTGGCCACCATATTGGAATTGGTCAGCCTGGCTCTGTGCGGATCATGTGACTCCTGCCCCACAACGGCCCCGCCCACCCGGGCTGAGCCAGCCAAACAAAACGAACACTGCAACTGAGCTCCGTGGCGGCCATTTTGGCTCTACGTATACAGGCGGAGCTCTGGGAAATCTGTTCAGCTTGGTTCTGAATGGTTTTGTTTTACAGCACCGCCTCCTCTGAAAGCCAGCGAATTGGAGTAAGTGTGAGCTCACAGCCAATTCAAGACAACGAAGCAAGAAGGAGCTAACGCCCATCTTTGTTAGATTTCATGAAAACAAGTCATTCATCACCCTGGGCCTTAGACACAGTTCACATTCAATTGAATCAATGCAAATGTAATCACATTAGATTTGAAGAATTGGTTTATCCCTTTCTCAAGTCTGTATTTTATTTTCTCTCACTTTTATATTTAGTTCTTTGTTTAATTCAATGAATGAAAAAATAGTATTATTTTAAAACAAAACATTTGAACTATCCTGTAAAGTGAGTTGCACCTTTAACACAATACATTTTTTGATTTGTTCAAAGTCATAAAAAACGTATTCCCTGTTGTGTAGGCTATTGTTGCATTGTTGGAGAAGCCTGTGACCTAAGATTTTCAACGACATAATTACTCTGTTTGACAATAAAGAACCTTGAACCTTGAACCTATTCTTGGTTGTAATCGCAGTCAGTATGAGAAGTGCAGGATTGTGAATGAGAGAAATATAATAACCAGCTTCCTTTTGATAACAAAATGTGAGTATCCACCCAAATGTCCTGTAAATATTTCTCACATCAGATAACGTGAAGTGAAAAAATCCTGCAGACCAGAAAACTTAATTCCAGTAATCCATAGAAAACTTTGAATATGAATCAAACAAAGACAGATTTTCTGTAGAGAAATATATCTCAGGTTTATTAACCTCATAGTTTTCTTCAAATGCCTTACATTACTTATAAAACAGTATGTACACATTGCTTTAAAGTTACACAACCAATGTTTGGAAGTGTACTTCCATCTTTGTTCAGCCATTGCAATAACACAAAATTCCCCTCCAATACAAACATGTAGCCATTTCTGAATATTCAAACCTGCCAAACAAGTATCGACTTTATACACCCTTGGGATATTAAAAAGGAAAATAAGTTTACCTCCATATTTAAATCCATAATTCCAACACCTGGATTTATTTAAAGTTTTGTTGCAACGCTTTCCTATACATATTTGTGTCCTTTATGTGCTTGAATTATCTCAATACTGCACTGCAACTCTGAAAAAGTTGATAGATACGGCCTAATATCTGTCTGGTACAAAGTAAGCTCCACAGAAGAATGATAATAGATGCAAAAACATGTTTTGGGGCACTTCATTCTCCTCTCCTTTGTTTCTGCATCGCTCCACATGCATGAAACCCTAAACTATTTCAACAATCCATTTGTGAATGATACACAGTGTGGAAAACTCACTAGCCTGAGAACCCTGCTCCAGAAAATATTTAACCTTCGTACAGGTCTAATCATCACACCGCTGCAGGGCTAAAAACAACACGACAGGAGTTGCTGATAAGCCCTGCTCCCCCGCTTCAATCCCATGGTAGAAAAAAGGTCTGAACAATAAAAAGCTTAGCAAATGAGACCGGTAGTCAAAGCCGCAGGAATTTCAATACTTTTGAGCGGCGGGAGACAAGTCAAGATAAGGGCCGGGAAAAATGAGAGGAGGGAAAGTGAGATGGAAGCGTGGGAGGAGAGACAAATAGACGGAGACAAAGGATGGCGAAGGATGTCAGGAAAGGGGAAGGATGGGAAAGCATTTTTTGCAGATAAAAAAAACCTTTGGTTATCATGGCTAATAATGAAGAAGGCTACAGAAGATAGGAGTTGTACATTAATATTTGAGGTCAACTCTGTGCAATGTTTATTGCTATTTAATGCCTTCCTAGCAAAACAATGGGGAATAAAACTTGAAATAACATCTCATCTCTCATTATAAATAGAGCTATTTTAAACATTTCTTTCAGCATCACACAAATGCCGCTCTCTTCATGTACAGAGTATTTACAGTCATATCACACAAACAGCAATCAGGGAACTGAACACAGTGTTTCTGGGTAAATTAACCCAATAAATGCTGCTTCTCACAGCTGGAAGCCCGTTTAACAGAACCACACCCTCAGGTGCCTATAACAAAACAAAAAAAACCAATAAATACAATGTTTACAATAAATACAACATGAATAAGTAGAACCATTGTTTGCACATTTCCCAGTACACAAACTGGCAGTCACACAGCCAACCAGTGGCTTTACTGGAAACCAGTATAAGACCAATTGCTACATGAGACCTATATGAACCAGCAGGCAGGTCTACATTTTCATCCAATAAGGCTAAGTCCACTATATATTTTAATTTAACTAGCAGGTTTACCCCTCAGGTAAGTACTCTATAAGGTCCTGCTGAATTAAATCTAAGGTTTTCAGAGTGCCGATTTTCTTCAGGGCCGGAGCCACCTGATAGGGGGCCCCTGGGGTAAAAATGAGCTGCTGGGACCCCATTCCTTCCCCCACTCTCTGTGCATTGCTTGAACACAGGTTTGCTGTATGGTCATTTGGTAAAGCACAATTAAATGTATCAACATGCGAGCACATAACTGAAATAATGAGGTCTTAAAAGTAGATTTTTTACATCTTTAAGACCTCAAGGTGAGAAAATAAACTTGATTTAGGGCTTCAGAGTTGCATTTACCCATTCATTTAAAAAATAAATCAAAATACCACAGTGAATATGGGAATATTTTGGGCGACCCCAGCGTAACTTGTAAATCCAAATTTGGAAAATCTTCCCACAAAGGAAGAAATGCTTTGGATTATCACTTTTTTCAGACTCATGTGTAAAACGGACATGTTTAAAGTGTTTTTCAAATCAGTGCTTGCTTATACAATAGTTGTTCATTGTTTTATATTTTCTAATAAATCACTATATCAACAAAATAATTTATCTCCAGTTACTTTAAATCTTTTCAGTGTCACTGCATACATAGGAAAAAAATAGGTAGATTACATGCTAGCAGCTTTAACATCTGAGCTCAGTCTGTGAGGAGTGAGCTGCTACAGTCGTCTTCATGTTAATCTCTTTATCTCCACCGGAACACAACCCAACTTCCTCCAACTCCTTGTCTGCTGCAAACACGGGTTGAATAGGTTCAGTATCATTTACACACACAGTACAATGTACCTCACTGTACATTGTTTCAAGTGGCAAACAGACGTAAATTTGCCTGGTAACAGAAAGCAACATGAGAGTTTATCACACCACATTTAGTCCTGACAGGGTTAACATCAGTAGTGTGAAGACATGCAGTGGAATGTTTGTTGTCCATTAAATCTCATCGAGTTATTGTGCTGTGAGTGTTTTCAATATTCAAGTGTCAATCCTTAACTCAGGGCTAACGGCAAGCTCAAAGGTTAACAAACACACGTGTGAAACACAAGTCACTTATTTTCTTGCTGAGAGTTAGATGAGCACATCAATTCCACTCTCATATCTGTCCATTAAATGAGAAAGCTTGTGTGTAGTGGGGCAGAATGTTTATGCCATGCCAAGCTAACTGTGTCCGGAAAGTAGCTTCATATTTGATGTAAAGAGTGGTATTGTTTTTCTCATCCAACTGTTGGTAAGGAAGCTAAAAAGGGTATTTCTTAAAATGTAAAACCATAAACGTAAAACAGTTTGCAAGTTGTGACTGAATCAGGGCCGGGGCTACTGTTCAGGACACCAAGGTCATGACTTCTGCATTTTCTTTCTATTCATCTTTTGGGTACTAGCAATGTTGGGAAGAAGAAGGAATACATTAACCCAAAGAATTTAGTTTGCTTTGTTGGTTTTCTTGCAAAGAGTAAGACGAAAAGGTTGATTCCTCTCATATATGAAGGAATCAATCCCCTCACCTAAAACCTCTCAGGCCTCTCCATTATATAGGACTATAGCAGAAAACATAATTAAACTGCCGATTCATGCTTTAAAGATGGAAATACGTTCTTTTTTTGGGGGGTATTCAGTATTGCTAAAATCCTGGCTGCGGCTCTGCTTACAACCATAATCTTCCCGAGTATCTTATCAGACTCAAAAAACATGGAGACATATCCTCATTAAACTTGAACAGCACATACTTGCTTCTGAAAACAGATAGCATTACATTTCTCTTTGCTCTTATTTGGTCTTCATGTCACTCTGTCAGAGTTATCCAACATGTGCATGCTTACACATACAATAACAAATGAAACATTCCAGTGTAACTTCCATCCAAATGTCAGTGAACGCACAGTGTTACAACCTCTAAAGATCCAGTTTGGTCAGCGCTTGGTGTCATGGTGATTTGAGAAGCAGCTGGTTTCACTCCGAGCTCCATCACAGTGAGGAATCCATTCACAAGAAACAGTGTCTGAAGAATGCAGCTTGTCCTTCAACTTCAACTGCTTTCAAGAACCAAAGAAAGCTAAAAAATAAATAGAATCTCTAAAATATAAAACAAATTAAATGTCAATATATATATGTATATATAAATATACTTTACATAAATAAATATCACTCTTGGAAATTAAATAATTTTAAACATATTGCCTTGGTCAAGAGGCCATAAACATCCACCTCACATCACCAGATTTAGTGACTTTAAGGACCATACCGATGTTTTTGCAAGTTCTAGAAGTATTTCCATGTCTAATTTATATTATATTACTATTTTATATTGCATGCATAACATCCTTTGTACTCTCTTGTTGACTCTGGGGTGTTCAGACTGCCATTGGTTTCAATAAATGTTTTGTAGTGTATAAAAATACATTAGCATTCATAAACTATAACAAAAGTAATAAAACATTACATTTGCCAATTCATATTTTGCTTTTTTAAACACTGTATTAATTGAACAGTGTATTATTCTAATGCAGAGTATTCACAGTTTGTATTAATGGGTGAAAACATGCAAAATCACTGGTATGGCTTCCACTCAGTACAGTGACTCTGGTCTGTTGGTGCTGAACTGACAGACAGAAGCAGCAGACAAACTAATGTATTGGTTCTCATCCATCTTAATAAAAGTCACCCCATGGAACAAAATCAAAACTAAAGTCATACTTATCGTAAATAAAACCATAAACTTAAACCAAAAGTTTTACTCTTTGGAAAAAAAAGGAAATTGAGAGTCAACCAACTATACTGACCCCAGCCCTGATCTGGTAACACCAACCTATAATGTGAGTTTTTTGTTGATGTCTTACCAGTGATGATGTTGAGGTTCAGTTCACATTAATTACAAAAAACCCTAAAAAGTTTTAGTTTCATGTGAAGAGGTTTTGAGATATCTTCGCTTCAATACAAAGGACTTTAATGCGTGATCATTATTCTACAGGATAAAACCTTTTGTGAAAACACATCTGCTACATTTTGGTTTAAAACATTGAACAATGGTCTTTGGCTGATGTTAGGCATCCATGTTTGTTTGGTTTCAGGCTCAAAATCTGACTTTACAAGTCATTATTTCAACTTGGCAGTTGACTTGAAGATACAAGTCAGACATGTTACTCTGACATGACATGAAAGCAGGATAAGAGGTTAGCAATTTCATTTTTTCTGATAGGCAGATAAGTATACGGGTCTATACAAGTAACATGGATATATTTTTGTAGTTTATAAGCAAAAATGCATTTTAATTTATTTGAACAGCAACGTGGCTTTTCAGAAGTGATGTCTACAGACCCCAGTGTGGTCATACAGATGATTTCCTCACTGTAATGCATCTCCTGTGAAAACGGTTCACAGTGAGGTCAGTAGATGATCCACAGACACTGGAACAATTGGTTTTGTAGAGGCACGTTGCTTCGGAGTTAATTTTTCACTAAAAAAGTGGAGGCAGAAATCTCAAAACCTGGACAAAAAATAAAACTAAAAACATTTGCAAGCCTTTTTGTAATCCTGGTGAACTGACCCTTTAAAAACACAAGACCCATTCTTCATTTCCAATCGTAATCACTAGTGTTCCCTCTGCCTTCTTTGTGTCTATACTGCATCTTTTTTTTAGTGTCGGGAGGGGACCATGCAGGAAGGGATAAAAGAGGATCTCCGTTTATAAAATACACGTAAAGTGCTGATCCTCAGCATACCCAAGAACTCTACAGAAAAGTTCAGGAGACAACGAGCAAACAGGAAACAGGAAGTAGTGCGAGAGTGTGTTGTTTGAGTGAGTGCGCAGGTAGTGTAGTTCCTACTTTAGTTAGATGGTGCTTTCAGTGTGTGTGTGACTGATGGTGTGGACGTGAGGGTTTGCCTGGGCACGTTCACAGTTCTGCTGCTCACTGAGCAGAGTGGTGGTCTCCCCCGGCCCGTTGTCCGGGCTACCAGGGGGGGGCGACGGCTGGGACTTGGAGGAGGGCAAAGTGGAGTGGGGGGTGATGGTGCACGGCGCTAAACTCATGGAGGACGGAGGGGGCAGGGAGAGCGGGATGTGGTTGCTCGGAGGGGGGGTGACTTGGGGCAGAGACTGGCTGGGTCTGCGGCGGGAGGAGGAGGGGGGGTGCTGGGGCAGAGCGGCTCGGGCGCCCGGCTGGATGTTAGACGGCGTGTGCTTTGCAGGAGGCGTGGCCAGCGGCAGCGGAGAGCGGCTCCCCGGGGGGGGTGATGGGGGGCAGAGACACAGACGTGTCCAGGCGGGTGTGGCTGCCCTCCGGGGACTGAGGCATGCTGTCCAGCTTGGACGCTAGGAGGCCGTTCTGGTACTGAGCCCGAGTGACCTGAGGAATACAAGACACCAACGATAGGAGGATAGAAAAATTAGGGGTGTTTCACACTATGATATACGTTCTTTGGACAATGATATTTGCGGTTTTCATGGATGATTCCATTCATCTCGAATACTGCAGAGTCATGGATTTGAGAATAGTTTTTTTATTTCATACCAATGAGCCACACATCAAAAAAGGTAAATGATAAATGATTGTGACCTGGTGCGGTGACCCAATCCCTAAATTGGGACCCCTGGACTAAATCAGCTCACTCTATATAAAGTAGTTCAAACTAGTTTGATGTGGAGCAATTACAACAGCACACGTGTTGCATCCTGATATCAATTAGGAAATAAAATGCTGTGGCAGGACAGTAATCATCTAATATAATCATTGTATTTGACCTGAAGCTGTGAGAATTAATAGACATTTTTGATATTTATCTTCAATATAATATGTTTACGTACAGAAACATTATTTTAGAGAAGTGGCATAGGAGGGAGGACTGAAAGGACGGGTTGTCAACGTTTACAACTTAGCAACTTTTATGCAAGATTTTAGCATTTGAAGCTTGTTCTTCTATCTAGCCCCTTTCCTGTAATGGACAACACTTGGCTGGGTTTTTCAGTTTGGGAACTTAATACTTACTGTACTCCAGCAAGCATCTCAAGACAACCAACCCTAGTTTAAAGTAGGATTTTGATTTCAGGGTTCTTGTTATTATTACATTAATTAATTTGTACTTTTACACAAGTAAAGGATCTGTTACTCTTTCCCCCCTGTTTACAGTAGAGTTGCCTGACCGGTACTCACCTTAACAAACTGCAGGTGTGTGAGAGCACGTACACTAAAGTCTGGTGTGTACTGGAAGGGGGTCCCCGGGATCTGAGTGACGCTCCCCCCGACCGAGCCGTTATCTGGAGCGCGCTCAGTGCAGCTCAGAGACGCCGAGCGGTTCAGGTTCCCGCTGTGTGACGGAGAACGGAACTCTGGGGATTAACACAGAAGAGAGTGAGCTAGAGGGTGAGGAAGGAAATATAAAAAAAATGCAGACATGCACACTTAAACATCAACAAATGCGGAAAACATTGAATACAAACAAGTAAAAATGACATGAAAACAAGATGAGCCAAGTAACATATCACACGCATGTACAGTAATGTCAACATCACACATGTGCTTGATGGTTTAATGGAGGAGATGAGTTTGTTATGCAAAGAATGCGACAAACATGCAGACTGCGATTAGACAAAGTGCATCGTTTGAGCATTTTATGGCTAAAACAGGACTGTCCGAGTTCAGATGAAGCTCTGTCATTGGCTTGTTTTAGTGATGTCATGGAGGGTGGCGTTATTCTCTTATTAATGAAAGTTAAAGGAGAGCGTTGGCGATGATCAGAGGACTTGATTTCAGCGTTGTATAGATCAAGTGGGAGGCACAGGAGTGTGAGCTTAAGGAATAGTTTAACATGTTGGTATATACTCTTTAGAGATTTGAGATGATAGGATCAATTCCAAAAATGCCAAACTATTTCTTAAACAGAGGTCTACAGTCATGGGAGTTATTTAATATCTCAGTGGGTTAAAGGGAGGTAGTGAAAACAGAGGGCCTTGAGCCGCATCCAGCAAGTTCCTCCTAACTGATAGACAGCTGTATATACTGATATTCTGTATACATTTCAGTATTTTAGGTCTGAAATAACAGGCAATAATTAATCAATCAACATAAAGTGAATTGAAACATATTTTAATAATTAATTAATTGTTATTTAACAAGCAGAAACTTGACTCATCCTAGTTTTAAATGTAAGAAATGCCATTATTTGTAATGTTAAGCTATGTTAAAGGTGGGGTGTGTAATTTATTTCAGAAACACTTTTTGTTATATTCCATGGAACGCCGATAGCAATGAATATCTTAAGTGCTTTGACAATAAATACATAAAAAAATGTCATCCTTGGAAGCCGCAGCGCTGTAAAAAGCACGACCAATCATTTTAGCCGGCCCGGCTAAAATAACTGGATGGCCTACCTGCCTGTCAGCCTTCCATCTGTGCACAAACTTATCTCGTGCCCTCATTGGTCATGTGCACGTTCGTGTGTGTTGGAGGAGGGGCTCTGTAAGGAAGTGGCAGATTTTCTCCGGTTGTGTATTTTCAAATTCTAGCGCACTCGAGCTGGTTTCTCCAAAATTACCTACCCCACCTTTAAGTTAAATATCTACAGGTGTATGACAATTTGAAGACTCTGTGAACTCTGTTTTTTTCATTATTTTCCATTGTTCCCCCCAGGATTTATTAATTATTGGTACAGGACAAATAATTGAATTTTTACGTTTTTATTCCAAAATATAATTTACAATTTCGCAGAACTTAAATCTTACGTATGTTTTTTTTTTTAACTGGCAGTACAAAATCAAAAAATTCCGAGTCAATGCTTTAAAAGAGCTAATTTGACAATAGAATAAGGGATTCTTTTGTAAATACAGTGTTAAGGCACTTTTGTAAATAGGCAACATTCTTGCATATGCTTGTTTAGACAATATTTAACATTTGAGAACTTTTTCCTTTTCGTCTACTTTTGAAGTAAAGTTTTCACTCTTATAAACATTAGTATAGAACAGTTTCAAATAACCAATCAAAAGCTCTTCCTATCATCCAGGACTTTGTTTGAAAGCGCCCCCTGCTGTTAGTCAGGGGGAACTCAAAGGAGCAACAACAAAAGGAAAATGACTCTTCTCGTTAGCTAGACTTGATTATTATTATTATGATTGCACTTGCTGGATCAGGGCTCCGAAGATGATTTAAAAAGAGGGAAAATGATGAAGAGAATAAAAGAGGACCCCCCCCCTCCCTCCCTCACTTTGCTGGCCCATGCGAGTGTTTACCTGGGAAACGAGAGAACAGAGAAAACCTCTTTACTGAAAGGCGTCGTGGAGGGGGAGACGCCACTGATGGGGAGAGAGGAGGGGTGACGGCTGAGAGAGGAGGAAGAGGAGGAGGACAGGAAGAAAGAGGAAGACAGAGGAGCTGGTTTATTGCTTTGGTGTATATCACATCTGCCGCTCTCTGTATTCATTCACTTTGGGGGTCTACTCTTTTTACTTACAAGACATTTTCTTGGTTTTAGTCTTCTTCAACCAAGGAGGATAGACTGAGTCAAAGAACTTTCCAGCACCTCTGCGCCTGCCTAGTCTGTATCAAAACTATCCTGAATTCAAATGTAATTATTGTCCTTGTCTTTAAAAATAGATCCTAATTTGTAATACTATGAAAACATATTTTAAAGACCTAATTTTGCGAGATATATGAATCAATTTAAATATAAAGAAAATAAACCACATGACATAAGGCAAAACCAGAGATAAAAAAAAGTCAGCGTTTCAGTGTTTCTAAAATCCAGCTTGAAAACGTGGCTTCTCTCTACAAATAATTTAATAAATAAAAAGGGAAAAGTAACCAATAACAAGTGAATAATTCGTTAATATTGATTTAGATTTAAATGTAACGCTTTTAGCTTTTATATTTATTTTTCTTTGAATTTAAATCAAATTCCTTGTTTGTTGTGCACATACTCGGCCTATAATGCCAACACAACTAAGTTAACAACTGTGTAAGGAATATTTTACCTAAAATAGATCCTAAATCTCAGTTCTTTCCAGTAAAATGCAAACATGTGTAACATTTATATTTACACAACTATACACGGAACATTTTAGGATGAGAAATGGTCAAGTGTTTGACATGCTGCACACACACTGACTGGCATAATGTGCACATGAAGTACAGACAGCAGTTTATCCAGCAGACAGAAACAGACCAACAGGAAGGGAAACAGAAGAAGAAGAGGAGCAGAACATTTCATCAGCAATAATGTCGCTGAACCACAAGGAGTCACCAGGGGTAACACACAGAGAGAGCCAGTCACCTCAGGGCAGGGAGGTCGTTTATAGGATGCCTCTCTGATATCGACACCAGCCTGCTGCACTGTTGATAGGCTAACATCATCCACTTCCACGTCTAAAGCCAACAACCTGCATCCAGTCTGTCATTTCAGCTATCCTCATTAGCCTCATCACATGTCTTACTTTGACTCCAATCTCACATACTGCACAGGACTTTCACAGAGATTCCTGCTCTGAAGCAGAAAGTAAATATATATATATATATAATAATATATTCAATATAATCTTGCTGGATTATATTGAATTGTCTTTACAGTACATACAGCCACACATTGTAGAAAGACAAGGGGAATACATTGTAATCTTCTTTGCTTTCTGCCTTTTTAGTTATCATACAGGTTCTTCAACTCCAATTTCAAAGACGTCTGCTCCTGCAAAGTAAAGCTCATGGTGGTTTCCTCAGCTTATTTTCTAACCTATTTCTTAATGAACCCAATTACCATTTAGATCCAACTAAATTAAATCAACTCAAGGTAACCTACAACGTTGCAGTGAGCTGAGGAAGGCAACAGAATAAATGCAGTCCTCTAAAGAAATATGAGTTCAGATTCATGTTTAACGAATGGGCGTTTCCCGTTTGGTCCTTCACAAGCTCTCATTAATAAATGAAAAGGGTACAAATATCTACTTTAGTCTCTGTGGTCGATTTCTCAGGCGTCACCTGCCGGCTCGGAAGAGAGAATACGCACTCTCTCTGAACTTAAAGGGTTTCCCTATTTGGATTAAGCTTATTGACTTTTCCACTGCTCTCTTCAAACACACCGCATCATTAGCAAGTCGCTGACACAGCACTTTGTGAAGGAGCTTCAGCAAGTCGAGGAGAACAGAGAGACATACCGGCTCAGATTACTAAGAACAATGACAGTTGTTATTTCAGTCTTTATGTGAACGGACAGCTGCCACCAATGCAGGACTTTGACTTGTAACAGAGTATTTATAGTGTGGTATTAATACTTGTTCCTGTAGTAAAGAATCTGAAAACTTCCTCCACCTCCTGTGTGTAGTTATAACAGGAAAATCAAGTCACTACAACATCCAAAATGTCTTGTTATAATGTGGAAATGACCTCATTAGGCAATATAAAAAGACTTCCAATCATAATGGGACACTGAACTGACACAATACTTCACATTACACCTATCTGGGCGGATAGAGGACACCTACATCTAGAAGAGCTTCAGCAGGAGTTGTTTTACTCTGCAATATGGGCCTCGAACAATATGCCTCGCTGACACTGGGGGCTAGGAGAATATTGATGTATGTATGACATTTTTGTATTCCTTGTTCTTCTGTACTCCATGTTGCTTTCTGCACTGTATGTCTATTTGAGATGTGTTGAATCCATGTGTCTATGCGTACCGGCTGTGAAAACAAACATTTCTCTAGTTCAATAAAACTAAATCTAAAAATGTATCCTTTGTCATGTCGCAGCAAAAGCATGCTGTACAGTGCCTATTTAATCATCTTGTGTGCACAGGTGTGTACATTGTGTCTAATGTGCTGTCTCACCAAGTGACACTGAGCTCAGAGCCATGACTCCGTAGTAAGAGAACGGGCCGGTTTCAAACTTCATGTTTTCGTGTCCGGCTTCCACCTCCACTCGCCCCTGAAACACATGTCACATTTAGATTAATAAGCACAGTATATGACAGGGTGTATTATTCGTATGTATGTATGTATGTATGTATGTATGTATGTATGTATGTATGTATGTATGTATGTATGTATGTATGTGTGTGTGTGTGTGTGTGAATCAGTCAGGATGCTCTGTTTGTGCAAAATCCTGTGGCAGGTAACAGAAACACGTTAAGGTGAGGTCCTATAAATATTACATCCTGCCAGATTCTGCTGTGGACCAGTGTCTCTTTACCTCACACAGAAACACCCCACACACACACACACACACACACACACACACACACACACACACACGGTGAAACAGGAGCAGCTGTGCTCAGGTTGCATGCTGTGTGTCTGCAGTCACTTCATCCACACCTCAGGTGTCGACAACAAAGCCTCCACGTACAAACACACACTTTCAAAAACAACAGCAACAGTAACACATAAAGAGCATGCAAGTTAAAATGAATGATAACAATGAGCAAAAATACATTTTATATTTACATAAATATTTGTAATTTATCTTCTTGTAAAACTGAGCAACTGTTGACAAATCTAAATTCCCTCCTGGGGATAAATAAAGTATTTCTGATTCTAATTCTGTATTATAGACAAGATGAGAGCCTTTAAGATAAAGATACAGATAAAGTCCAAAATATGAATAACTACTCTGGGAGTCGGACATTGAAACTATGAATCAAGCTTGGGTTGGGGGTTTATCACAAAGAAACAATTCTATAATAAATGCAAGAACCAACAATCTGAATAACTAAATGTATCAAATAAATGCAGTGACTTGCCTCTAAAATAGATGAGGAATAGTTTCATTATAAAGTTGCATAACATTGAAATACACAAGTAAAGTACAATACCTTGAAATTGTACTTAAAGAGGCCCTATTATGCTTTTTGGGGATTTCCTTTTCCTGTAGCTTTGTTTACTTCCGTAACATAGTGACATCACTCTGTAACACTCACTTCTATTGGCTAGCGCTGCAACACATTGAACATGATAGGCTAAGGGGTGGGACATATCTAAGCGGTTGACCAATCACAACAGAGCCGGCCAGCTAACCAATCAGAGCAGACTGGGCTCTGGTTTCAGACAGAGGGTGAAAAGAGTAAAAGGGGGAAAAATGTGATTTTGATCATTAAATCATGTAAACATGTCACAGTTGAGGCAATTAATACAAACATGAACCTGAAGTGGGCATTATAGGGCCCCTTTAAGTATGCTACTTATTTTCCTTCCACCACTGGAGAAAGCTTTGAAACCGTGAAAGGATTTGCTTCTTAGTTTCTGCCCCCCCCCCTCCTGCTTCAGAAAGTCTCTCCTCTTCATCTGTAACTCCTCTCTGCTGTCTGTGTCTCTCTCCATATGCTCTGCTGTGTCTCTTCTCATCTGCTCTTCTTATTTTCCACCACCCTTAACCCTTCAATCCCCTCACCCTCCTCCATTTGTCCCCGTCAAACGTAAAGAGGATCAATTAGTGAAGGTCGTGCAGAGACCAGCCCCTCTCACACACAGGAACTATTCATATGGTATTTAAATTACAAAGCATGTTAATAACAACTATAACCCCCTACACATTTCATTTATTGCTTAAAACACATGTTCTGTCTATAACGCTGAATATATAGGTGTCAATATTTGAAATTAAGGGAATGGTGTGCCAATACAGACATTTCAAAAATATCTTGATATACAATTACTTGATGAGGCTTTAAACATAACATGTATTTAAAGCTCTTTTTTCCTTAATCATTTAAGGGTTTATTTTGCCTTTTTGTGACTAAAACAACATATTTTGGGGGTTTGGATTCTGAGTTGGATATTAATATGTTGGAAAAATGTAAAAAGGATTTAACTGGCACTTTTCTACAATTTCCTGATATTGTTTACACCAAATAATTCATCAATTAATTTAGAGAATAACTGACAGATTACTTTATAATAAAACTAATAACAAGTTCTGAATGGTAATAAAAACGATCAAATTATTATTATTTTTTAAATATTTCTACTTTGAAACGTGTTGTTTGTTTTGACATCATCTGAAAATGGATGTTCTACTTTGAAGAAGTTAACATAAATGTATGGACAGTTTTGTACCAAAATGTTGAGTCTCTAAACTAGTTGCTGAATGGACTTTTTGCCCATGAATTTACGTACATTTTACAGTGAATTTAGTCATCTAACAAATAAAAATACTAAATATTTGCTGCTTTTATATGTTTTCCATCACTACAAACTGGAATGAATAAAAACTGCAAAAAGTAAGTGTTGTTTTTCAACTGCTCCACACTTAATCTGCTTTATCCATTATTATAAAAACCTGCCGTTGTAAGATTCATAAAGCATCATCAGTATTTGAACACTGCATTTTCTGACGGTAAAAGCATCAAGGTTGTTTTTTTAGTGTAAACAACAGAAATCCACTTAATTAACTTAAGTCAGGCCTGTCTTAAGGAGTTGATGAGTTTAGCGACTGCATCGGTGCTAATACCTGCTGCAGACTGACGCAGTGACCTGGAAATAACCTCTCACTCGTCTCAAACCTGTTGTATAACCTCACTTTACCCCAGTCTTTAAGAAATCACATGTTAAATAACCATAACCATAACGTCCACATATACCAGCACTCTTTGAACTGATAGATATTTACTTTCTCATGTATTTGTTAGTATTGTTTAACACTTAATTATACAACTTTAGTTACTTTCAGATTATTAGAACCAAATATGATCAACAACTTCATGTTTTATTATTGATTAAATAACCCAGCAGTAATTGCAATGAGCTGTATATTGAGTACTTGCAATGTTGTACTAAATATATTTAATGCAAACATGATCTAGTATGAGTGTTTTTAAGTATGTCTACACTATTGTATTGATACTTTCATTTAGCCAAAGATCGGAGCACTTCTTCGACCGGTTTGCTCATTATCTCACAGAAATTGCTACTTTATTTAAATATGAATGTAGTTTGAATCCTCTGATTGCAGGTGTGGCAGTGTACCTGCAGAATGAGGATGAAGAAGTGGCAGTGTACCTGCAGAATGAGGATGAAGAAGTGGCAGTGTACCTGCAGAATGAGGATGAAGAAGTGGCAGTGTACCTGCAGAATGAGGATGAAGAAGTGGCAGTGTACCTGCAGAATGAGGATGAAGAAGTCCACAGGTTTCCCTCTCTGGTAAAGGAAGTGCTGCGTTGAGCGTTTGTCGTTTTCGTTGAACTTGAGTTCCAGGATGACGTCGGGGTGGCTGAGGATCCTCAGTAACACTTTCTCTTTGATCTGGAACGGGCTGAACAGGCTGACCTCTGGAGGGAATCAGAACAAAGCAAAGATATTACGCATTGTATGAGTTCTGTGTTACAGAAAGCAGAATGTTTTTACTTCTATAAGCACAAAGACTGACCCTTCACGGCTAAATGAAGGGTAAAAAACCTTTGATTCTGTGGGCTGATACTCAAAATCAATTTTTACTATCCAAATTTCAACATTGGTTGAAAATATCCTTATAACATTTAAAACAATAACCATAAAACCAAAACGTTTTAAAAACAGCTTTTCCCTTTTTTTCAACAGGTCTTATCGGTTTTAACATTTCTATTATTACATCCTTCATGGAGGATTACAGAATGTAAAGACCCATTACATTTTGGAGCAGAGGCAAACCATGGGGTGAATATACAAATTATTTTCCACCTTGGCGTATCATAGATATCTTTAATTTGTGTTTTATTTTAGGTGTACTTTTTCAATTACAGTCCTAAAATGATTTAACCATGTAAAGCACTTTGTTTTGTATAAATAAAGAGAATTATTATTATAAAAAGGTGTCAGCTGTTACTCTCCTTTATGCATTTTCTGAACTTTTTTAGTAACTGTTCAGGAACTAAATATTGTGCTTATATATTATTAACACAGTGTATGCTGTTCAGACAGACTTGACATCAAGGTCACTGGGTCTCTGAGTCCCTCAGAGAGCAGGTGTTAATCTCTGTGAAGAATCAGTCAGCTGAACGACAGTAAAACAAATCAGTGGCTGAGAGATTAGCGGCGCTCACCTGTAGCCAGGAAACGATGAGCCGCCAGCATGAGCTGAGGAGAGATCTTCACTTTGCTGTCGCCCTCCTGCTTGAAGGCCGAGAAGTCGGGCTTGTTTTTATTGGGGTCCACCTTTTTCCTGTTTCTGTTGTCAGCTGCAGAACGGAGTGCAGGTTAGCATCAAACCAGAAGTGGAAAAATCCGTAAAACAGTGTACAGAGTAATATTAGACCATATAAATACAGAATGTAGACTATGAAGTCAAAAATATGAGCGCTAGTAAGAGTCTGTATGAATACACTTGAATACAATTTCCTTAGTCATGTAATTACAATACAAAGTGGACAACAAAGATATAAAATATCAATTTCACATCTGAAGGTAACATAACAAATCTCAACTGGTGTTTTTGCAACGTTGTGATATAAATACTACTGAAATAAATAACTAGTCTTTCACTACTTTTTTTTTCCCGATATGATTTTTTAATAAGGCAAACCAAGAGATATAACATGTTCATTGCGTAAGCTTAAGAGATGCATGGTAGGTGGATTCTATAACGCTTGACTTGTCCCATGTCAGCACAGCCCTCCACTTTAAAATATAATACACTGTAGTTTGCCATAATACACTCATGTTTTAGTTTTTAGTTTTTAGCTGTTAAGGTTATTTGTATAGTTACATTTAAATCTGGTGTAAATACTTGTCTTGACATCCTTATTTAATGCTACATTTTTTCTTAAAAATACTCATTTTTTCTTATCCATATATATATTTTTTTTTACCTACTTTGCAACTTATTTTTTAGATTGTTTATGTTTGCACTACCAGATACCAAAGCAAATTCCTTGTATGTGTAAACGTACCTGGCAGTAAACTTGATTCTGATTCTTTGACTGAACCACGGTAGCCATCTCCACTGTTTCTAGTCTTTATGCTAAGCTTAAGCTAAGCATTTAGTTACCTTTGAACTGAACCAGGCTAGTAGTACCATCGATTAGTATGCTAAGCTAAGCTAAAGGCAACTTGTCAAGAATTGTCTTCGTACCTTAAAGACATTTATAAATGAAACATGAATGAATGTCTCATGAAAGTTTTTTTTTTTTAAATCACCTGTAAGAGCCACTTAAGAACGAATGACTTCCTTCGAGTGTTTCTTTTGCATGATGTCGACAACATATCAGTGTCTTTCAATGGTGTGTGTGTGAAGTGTGTATCTGTGTCACAGGCAGCATACGCTGACTCACTGTAAAGGTCAGACTCATCCAGGATCTCTGACTTGATGATCTCTTCGATGACGTCCTCCAGCGTGACCAATCCCAGCACCTCGTAGAACGGATCTCCCTCTCCCTCGTTGTTCACTTTCTGGACAATGGCCAGGTGGGATTTACCTGGAGATAGAGATCACATAAAGGTTACAACCAGGATGTACGAGTGCACCTCGAAAGTGAATATAAAAACATTTTGCATTCCCACAAACTGGGCTGTTAAGACATGGACGGGCAGGAAAGTAGGGCAGCATCAAACAGGAAGTAGAGATTCTCACTGCTGCAGCTGTCTCCTAAACTTCAGCTCGAGGCCTTCAAACACATTCAGCTACATACAAATATCCTTTCTTGTTTTTCTATTTTAGATTTGCTGTTCGATCTGTCAGTGGAATTATCCTGCCGACTGCTGCTGGGAGGACAGATTGATGCCTTAATATAGCCCAGACTGGACTAAGAGCTTTGCAGAGAAAAAGAGCTGGAAGAACTGCCAAAACAAAGATAAAGAGGAGGGAGAGTGGAAGGGAAGATGGAAAAAAAACAGATTAATACTCTCCTCATTAAAAAAAAAACGTATAGACCGTTTTTCCTGCTCATGTTGGCTAACTGCATGCAGGTCTGCAGTGTGGCAACAAACAAACTGACATCACTGGGTGGCTGCCAATGACAGCTGAGTAAAGGGACTTTATCTGGAGAGAGGCTGCCAGGTCAGAAAGCTGCCACAGTCGCTCTGCATCAAGACAGAGCAGCATCTATTCCCCTCACTGCTGCGCCTGCATACATGTGAAATGTAAAAGACACCAAAAATGTATCTGTCAAAGGTTTTCAGGCTTAAAGAGTTAGTTAATTGATGACTGAAAATGGTATTTATCACATATATAAAAAGGCAGTGAGATATTTTTAAAGCTTATTTTTTGTCTCTTTATTTTTGTTTTCAATAGGAAAGTCGTTAGTAGATAGAAGGGGCCGCAGCTTGGATTCAAACGGGGGCCACTGCAGTAAGGACTCATACTTTACCACATGGGGGGGGCTGCTACACCCAGCTAAGACATCACATTAGTAATCAATATTCATGGAAGAAATATCTAGAACCACCTTGACTACACACACATACAAATAATAAAAGCAGTAAGAACACTAGTGTATTTGATATATACTGCAGAACTATGCTTTGAATGGCATTGTTTAATAGTAACTAAGACATAAAGATATTATCAAAAAGTCCCTATTTTGTGCACAAGCCCAACCGTCACTGACAGATAGTTGACTAATAACTTCCTGAGACACAGCAACAACCAAGGTTTGTTCAAAATACTAACATATTATTTATACTTAATATTACATCTAATTAAGTATTTAGCTGTTCCTCCAACTGCATAGCATGAGGACTTTCTGTACACAAAAAAATGCCTGGTGTAAACTACTGGCTAATTAGCAAGAGCATGAGACATACTGAACGCCCTCAAATGCATCACAGCTCTTACTATACGTCTAATTGTTGTCTCTCACATTCTTTCTAAATTCTGCTGCATACGAGATGTTCTCTTTGTCTGACTGAGTTTGCATCTTTGCATGTGTTTTCATGATGTGGTTCTGATGTGCTGAGCTCTCAGGGACACCGTACGACTCAGCACAAAGCAGCAGTGTTAAAGAGGCTGCTCTGAGTCATCCAACAACATCAGCCACTGTCACACACAGAGCTGCGTACAGTCAGCGCTCTGCAGCCAATAGCCTCTGACATCTTCATCATCATCATCATGAGCACACTGACCTGATGCAAACTGTGTGTGTGTGTCCCCCCCACAGGAAGGTCAGAGGCCACTGCAGCAGGCTCACATAGTGACTTCAGGACACTTCAGCAGGACTAATATTAGCTGGCATGTGTCCTTCAACCTTGAAGTTAAAGTGGACCTATCATGCTATATTTAAATGATATATTGTAGGGCCATACCTATATAAGGTATATTTATACGTTTCTGTTTTCAAAATACCAAACAGATCATGCATTTTAGCCATGCCTCATTTCGCTCTATGTGTTGTTTGCTGTCTACGGGTCTGATTCTGCTGACCACGTCCCCCTGCAGGAGAGGGGAGCCGTGCTCTGATCAGCTGCTGGGCTGTCAGAAGAGGGGGAGAAAAAGAGATCTCCGTCCTCCGTGTTTTATTATATAGAGTCCTTATTCATTTGTTTTAAAGCTCAATAAATAACAAAGAAGACCTTTGACCGGCACTTTTCTAATTTTGTCCGGAAGATTTCAACTTTAACGGACATCTTGACCGGCGAAAGAAACTGAAACTGAAACTCTGCCGCACGGTCCCCTCGTTCCTTGGAAGAGGCGGAGAGGTGGGTGTTTGTCATCTGCTGGTGGACTAACCGGAGAGAATTACAGTGCTTGCCTCGACGGGGAGGGATTGCATTGAATTAAAGCAGCGGGAGCAAACGCTTGGGAGAAAAAAAGCCACAGTGGAGAATAAACAGAAGGGTAACCATGGTAACTATGGGCGGGAATAATAAATAATAAATTATAATAATAATAAATAAATAATAATAATAAATTGCTCTTATTGTCATTTCACAGTACTGGTACTATGTAACGAAATTGTTCCTCTGCATTTGACCCATCCTAGTGTTAGGAGCAGTGTGCTGCCGTGGACGGCGCCCGGGGAGCAGTGTAGGGAACGGTGCCTTGCTCAGGGACACCTCGGTAGCACTTGGTCTTGTCGGGACTCGAACTGGTGACCTTCCAGTTGCCAAGCCAAGTCCCTATCGACTTCGCCACCACCACCGAAGTCTTCTTCGCTGCTTTTGTGGCAGACTACAGCGCCACTTACAGGCCTGGCATATGTACTACAGCGTCTCCAGCGCTTTCGAGCGGCAATGGCCGGCCGTGGCCCAACCCCACATTCCCCTGATAGGTGGAGAGTTGGCCCAATAGCCGTAGCGCCACTTCTGTGACGTCATAGAAGTGTTCAAATCTGGATCAGTTTTTATCAGATCCGTTGCAGACCCTTTTTTAGAGATTTGGGTATGGAGGAAAATAGAGAGGGTTGTGTTTTCTGACACTTGGTGAGTTCCCTGGAACACCGGGGACACATATTCATGTATAAAAGACGTACAAAAGTGCATTTTGCATGATAGGTCCCCTTTAAAGTACTTGTTTTGTGACAGATATGTTTTCTGTTTTCAGCCAATTATCCAGCTCATAATACTACAAGTGAAGATTTAATATGTTTCCTTGTCATATAAGCAATTCATATGACAGGCTTTTGGTGGAAAATGTTTTGAAGGACACTGTTCCCTCTTCTCTTTTATTCATGGTACAATTAATTGGAATATCAACCAGAAAATACTGTAATTGGCAGAGAATCCTATTGTAAAAAAAAAGATTAATGTTACAGATCACATGACTTTCAAAAGAGAGTTTCTTTAAGAGCTATTTTGATGATTTATATCTCACCATCCTTCATCAAATCATCTCTTTTCTAAGAGTTTAAGTTTTAGGGAAACAATCATATTACTTTGGGTATACTATCTTTGCAGTCATTATTAACAAAAGGTGCTGTCAACACCTGAGGCAAGATGTATAAATGATGCTCCTGCACAAAAAAGTGCTAAAAATAGCCACTATTCATGCTGGTTTCGCATTATGACAGCTGATAATGCAGTTCTTATTTTGCACTTCTTTTCAAATGAAAGGCTGGAAAGATGGCAGAAGTACTGTAAAACAAATGAGTGCACTAAGGGCGTGTCTACATTCATGTATAGGTCTAAAAATGAGGCTTGTGCATGTACGCAGATCAACAATGACTTCTTACACAGAATACAAGCAAATGCACAGCTTTATAAATGATGACTGATTCCAAAAAGAATAATCAAGTGTGTATTTGCAGTGTTGGCTGCTTTACGAATGTGAAGAAAAGCATTTGATATCTTGAAATGTAAACATTATCATCATCACATAAGCTTCAGTTCTCTGCTGGTGCTTCATTGTCACGATACCAGCTTTGTGTTCAAGGTTTAAATATCAGCGCTGATATTTCCAGCACTAATCCATTGCGCCTGAACGTGCACACTTTTGATCCCATCATACACATTAGCACAGAGGCTGCACTCCCTGATTAGTTCCTGCTCTCTGATGGAAGATGCTCATTAGTGATATCCGCTGCTGCAGTGTTTACAGGAGATAAAAACCCGCTGCCAGATTAAATAAAACACTGATGCCAATTTGAGAAAAAACACATGGTATAACACACAGAGTTTGCAGACTTCAAACGCTCCTGTAGTGCCTCTTCATCATACATTATTTGTGTTGTTTATGCATTTTGTCAACAGTTTTCCCCTTCTTGTTTACTACCTAAGACTGAGACTAAATATGATTCAGCAGTTTTTCCTGGCTGTAAAAAGTGTTCTGAAAATATGAGTCCATGGGCTCCTCAAATATGAATATTTTCTGGTTTTCTTCTTGGTTTTTATATATTAATAAGTCAACATGTTTAGGATGTTGGAGTTTGAATAGCTTCTCTCAATTGACTTCCTTTTTGGATTATAATTATTGATAATAAAAGAACAGAGAAGCTTGACTTGATTGATTCTGAAGTTAAGTAAAAATACACAAGGGCACAATAAACTTTGATGTAGTGAAGAAAATCATGATATACACTGACGAGGATGAAGGTGAGGATGAAGAAGAGGAATGTGCGTATCATCAGGACCACAGCTGGATGACAGGGTCTGAAATGTGGATCTGTGTTGCACTTTGCATAACATTTGTTTTGTTGCATGCCAGTGCTTAAAAGTAGGCTGTGATGTTCCAGCTGTCAATAGTGCTGATCAATACAGACAGACAGAGCATTTTGAGGGAGGGGGGGACAAAAAGGGTTTATGCGGATGCAATAATGGCCGGAAACAAACCCTACAGCAGGTGATTTATCTGCAGGTTCCTCAGAGGAATCACCTGCTCCAGTGTTAAAAGATGACACACACACAGACACATGTTTACACACCTTTCTTGAACTCCTCCAGCATGGCGTCCAGCTTCGTGTCATGAAACACAAAGTGCACAGGGTGGTTGTAGAACTTGGTGATGGTCTTCAGGGTGGTGCAGTCATCGGGGTCCACGAACGCCAGGTCCTTCACGTACAGGATGTCCATGATGTTGCTCTTCTCGTCGTCATACACAGGGATACGAGTGTACCCGCTCTCCATGATCTCAGACATGGTGTTGAAATCCAGCACAGCATCCGCCTGGATCATGAAGCAGTCTCCTATGGGCGTCATGACATCCTCTACAGTTTTGTTCCTGAGCTCCAGAGCACCCTGGATCATGTTGAGCTCCTCCTTCACCAGGTCGTTGTAGGGCTCCGTCACCCTCAGCATCCCCACCAGCTTCTCCCGGTTGTACACGGTGCCGATCTCCTGACCCAGCAGGACGTCCAGCAGCTTGCTGACTGGGAAGGACACAGGGAAGGTGAGCAGCATGAAGAACTTGGTCACCATGATGGTGTTGGCTCCTACAGCCAGCCCGTGGCGGGAGCACAGCGCCTGGGGGACGATCTCACCAAAGATGACAATCCCAACCGTGGAGGCCACCACAGCGCCCAAACCTGATCCGATCAGGTCATCGAGGAGGATGGTGAGGGTGGTGTTCACCAAGACGTTGCCCAGGAGCAGAGAGCAGAGAAGATAGTTCCCTTTGCTACGGATTGGTTCTATTTTTCTTGCGTATTTCTTCTCCTTCTCGGTGCCACAGCTCTGGACGATGCGCAGCTCCATGGGGTCCAGAGCCATCAGCCCCAGGTTCAAGCCGCTGAACATCCCAGAGAGCACCAGCAGGAAGGAGATGAGGATGCACTGCAGCCATAAGGGCAGCAGGGACCTCTTCTCCTCCACCACCAGCAGCTTGCCATCAGTGTCCCCCAGCAGCACCCACCTGCTCGCCTCCACGCGGCTCCGGATGCACACGCCGTACTCCTTCTGCGGCTCGGTCTTGCGGAGCGGCTTAATGTGAACGGTAAGCAGCCCCGACGAGCCTCGACTGCTGACGTTCAAGAAGGTCTCGACGCTTATGTCCTTCGTGAAATCTACACAAGTCCTGTCCGGCGGCTCCATCATGCCGCTGCCTCCTCCTCTCGCCGCCGCCTTTACCGCTTCATCCTCCTCCTCCTCACCTTCATCCGCGCCACCGCTTGCGACATCCGTGAGGTCCGTGAAGCGGATCTGCGTCCAGGCGCCCGAGTGGAGCTGCACCCCGTAAAACCGGAGCTGCACGGAGCTCTCCTCAGTCACCTGGATGACACCGTCGTCATTGGTGCTGGACGGCTTGTCGCTCCTCTCCAGCCGCATGCCGAGCACTTGGCTGCCGCTGACACCGGACGCTGCAGCCGCCGTCTCCGTGCGGCCACCGACTGCGCTCCACAGGAATATAATGAGAGTGAGAATATAACCCTGCTGCCCGCTCCATTCTGTCGCCATGTTTGTTTCACTGCTCGGCGACCCAGGGCCTGACGTCATTTACTCATGTCCGAGCGGCTCCGCCCCCCGCCGCCCATCACACACACCCCCGTTATCACCGCCTACCGGGCAGCGACAGGTAGAGCTAATAAACAAACTCCCCCTTCCTCCCCTCACTAGTCATCACACACAAACACACACACACATAGGCCTACACGTATACACAACTCCTTTATTGTGATACTCATGAGTGAGTGATGCATTCACCCTACGTCCCCCTCTTTATTTTAACAATCTATGGTCATCCTCAACTCACCACCACCCCCCACCTCCCCACCTCCCCCCCCTGCACAGCCTTGTTTTTGTCTCGGGGCAATGCGGCACACAGCGGTTTCACATCCTCCAATTGTATCCGGAGCCAGCTGATGTTATGTAAGGCACATGGCATCTGTGCACCCCCATCACCCCCTCCCCCGACTTCTTCTCACCCCCTCCCCACCTCCCCTCATCCTCATCCTGCACCATCCTGCATCCCTCTGGCACAGAGCCCAGTCTGCTGGGTGCGGAGATGAACTCTCTGCAGCTGGGATTTTGTCTGTCTGTATATAATAATAGTAATAGTAAAAAGAAAACGTATAATAATAATCTAGTGTGTTGTAATAGCTGATAGATATTGTAATCTATATTTTATTTTTATAAATATAAGGCACAAATTATTATTTGTACAAGGCACAAATTATTATTTGTATTCCTTTTTATTATTATTATTATTATTTGTATGTGGGTTTTTTCTCCCCCTTACTAATAACTCCTTAGCACTTTATTTGAGTTCCTCCTATAGGCAAGACATTAACTATTTGGCCAAATAAGCCCTGAATTGAACTAATTGTTCTTATTATTGGAATATTTCTTACCCATCTTTGTTATAAGGGTCCAATATTTAGTGTCAAAAATACAGCCTAAAGCAGTTTCCCATCTTATTGCCACCTGGTGGTCAGGCCAGTTCAAATGATTCTGGTGTAACATGCTAAACACTTGATAAAATAGGACTTATCCGGATTGATTAGTGAATATTGTATTTTCAAAACATCTGCCATAAATGAGTCATAATTGACAGAAACTATATATTGCTTTGTGTTTAATATGTATTTATTATCAGGTTGTAGAAATGGTGTTACATTAGACTTCATTATATCGTTCACATGAATTTACAAATGATATCATAATGACTTGATGTTGTTTATAAGGGTACACTGAGATTTAGCAAGATCATTATCAACATAATTGATTTAAACAGATATTGACTCTCATGATTATGGCAAACAATATGAGCAGCATAATGCACAATTATTTAAACATAATCATCTGAAACAGAATTTGATGAATGATGCCATTCAGTAACTTTATCTCCTTTGGTCTTCTTAGTCTGTGTGTGACGTTTGGCTTCTTCGTACACAAGGATGCGGTTGATGTCACAAAGTTTTTCTGGGATGTGAAACCATTAGTAAAGAACCAACCAAGGTAACCACCACCAACCAATCTCCTCCTAGAGCACCATTGTGTTTTAACTTAACCAAACATGGTTTTAAAAAAACAAGTGGCATTGGGAATGGCAGCTCATTTGCATTTAAAGCTACAGATACAGAATCAGCACTTTTGAAACAGGCCTGAAACAGAGGGGTTTATGGGATGCTGCAATGCATGATCTGTTTGGGATTACAAGCCAAACACTTCAGAGACATGTTTTATATCTGAGACCTACAATATATTGTTGAAAAATAGTATAATAGGGGACATTTAAAATTATGAGTTTATACTGTTAGGGATTCTGTTTTCAAATTCAGGTGAGACATGTTCTTCTAAAAAAACAAATTAAACAAAGGACAATCTGTCCTGTACATATTTCCCTATTAAAACTTCTACAAAGGCAACTGTGAAACATGTTGTCGGTAAAGTTTAAAACTTTGTTCTGAGTGATATCTTTTCTAACTGGAAGATCATGGTATATTTTAGTTGTGTATATGTTAAAAGTAAAGAAATGTGTGTAATCTATCTAAATGAACAGTAAACCAAACCTTAATGGATATACTGTATGACAGCAACCTAAACGTCTGGCTCTTCTGAGGTAAAATCTACATTCTTGTACTTTATTGTTTACATTGCAGAAATGATAAATAAATGTGTGCTTAAAGAGTAACTTAACACCAGCAGAAAATCCTGCTTTGAGGACCTCCAGTGGTTTAACTTATCCTTTTGCTGCAGTAATGTAGACCTGAACTCTACAGTGTTAGAGTTCATTAGTGTTTACATCAACTGGGTAACAGCCAGTAAACTGATTTCTTAAACGTCACAGAAACTGGTGTCCGTAAATGGAAAAGATGGTATGAAAGCTCACTTTCCCTTGGTAGATTTCTTCTGCAGAGAGTCAGTTTCTTGTCCGTAAAGACACATTTGGAAATGACTTGTACTTGAAGCAGCTATAATCAATACTGTTACAATAATCTTCCAACTTCTGAGGTAAATATGTGTCTACTCAGCTGATAAATGCTCCTCGATCTTTACCAGCTATTCTCTAACCGAGACTGTCCTCAGTTTGCTGATCATGTTTTCACAGGCTAATTACCGACTGTGACCTTATACATACACAGTGCACAGAGGGAGAAATGTAATCGGTGGCCATGGCTAATGTTTTGCCCTAGGGCCCTGAAGAGGGCTAATGCTGCCCTGATGCTAAAGCATTGATTTTGCTGTAGATGAACACTCAGTGAACTCTGTCACACGGGGATCTGAGCTCTCGATCACCGCAGCCTCCTGCCTCGTCTGCTGCAAGAACGCTGCATCCGTCCGCAGGAGGAAGCACCTCCACTTTGTAGCTCACCTTCTTAGACTGCAGGATGCTGTAGCTGTTATCAAAGCACAGCACGTCTGCACAAAAAAAAGGACAAATCACTAAGTTACAACAGCGACCATTATTCAGGTTATTATATATTCATGTCTGCAAAGTAATAATCAGACTAACTAGTTAACATGGAATATGTTGTTTGTTTATTATGGAGAAAAAAAAACTACATTGTTGTTTTATGGAGGTTAAGTGCAATATTTCTTCTTTATATCATTGCGTCACCACCACACGTGCCTTACTCATGGAAGTCACTGTGTCCAGCCAAGAAAAGTCTGTATATCAGCCATAAACCCCTAGTTTTTACACTTTTGTGCAGGTTAATCAAATGAGACATAACTTGTTAATTAGGTGGGTTTTATTCAATTTGACAGAGGCAGCTTTACTGTTTCCCCATGTTTTTAGTCGTATGCCAAGTGCCTTCTGGCTGTTGCTTCATATATTCACTGTACAAGCACATTTCCCTAAATGTAAAACAGCTCGTTCCGGATTTTCATGGAAAGCATTTTTTATGATATTCAAATAATATATCAGAGACTCACAGACTCCGGGCTCGGGGCAGGTGAGGCAGCTGTCTTCAGGCACCAGGTGAGCGTTGTAGCGCTCGCTGGGCAGAACCTGCAGCATATCAGACACTTTCTGACCCCCGCCCTCTTTAGTCCGTCTGTACACTCCAAACCCGATGTCTGCTCCGTCACTGGTGAACTGCCACCTGGAGGAAAAACAGGGGCCAGACAGAGTGTGTAATTTATATATCAAAACGTATATTTTAGAAATCTTTTTCAGGATCTACATTATACAAAGCACCAGAAACAGAAAAATATTTGTAACAGTTTAATAGTAATTTGTATTATGCATGTGCATATGTTTGCACATTAAATTGTTGTTGACATTTATTTTATATTGATCCAGGTGTTGCTTGGTAAGAGCCAAATTATTAATTATCCAAATTATTAATTAAATATATTAAAAAAACGGTTTCTTAGACAAATAACTGTTAAATCCTAGAGAGTGATGTTCTTGGAAATTAAACCGAGAGGAATTAGGATTCATAATGATGAATTTTAATGAGTTTATTAATAGTTTCTTCTTTTTTTTTTAAGTCCAAATACTAAATTATTTTGAGGAGGGTAGTGTTGTATGAAATAATATGTCAACATAAATCTATATGTGTTTAAAAATCAGGTTTCTAATAATTTCCCTTAAAGTTAGTATCAAGTTGACAATTTTTTGAGCTGTTAGAGATCAATAAATAAAGCTTAAATGGTCAGCTGCTGGTTGTCTGGTACCTCAGCAGGCTGCTGGCGGCTGTCACATCGTACTCCAGCTGGAAGACGGAGCCTCGGCTAACGGTCACACTGCTGTCGTACTGAACATTCACCGAGTCCAGCACATAGTACGACCTGGGAACTGTGCCACCATAATTTATCTGCAAAACAACATCCACAATTTAAATTACAATCATTTAAGAGACTCACTTACTGGTCCATCGATGTTTTGAGTTTGCTTTCACCATGGTTCTGCAGCGAGGGTCTCCATCAGGGTCCGTCATGTTTCCACCGTACGCCACAGGAAGCTGGTCTGGGTCGACATGTTTACGTAACTCTTCCTGCCAGTTACCTTTACTCAGAGAAATTTGGTTGGTTAGTACTTAGTTTAATTAGTACTTTTAATGCAGCAAATAATCTGCATACCACCTTCCCCACTGCTGAACACAGATTTAAACAATGCTTGATTTAGAATACTTAAAAGCGTGGCTTTGCGTTGGCAAACGTTTATGAGGAAGACACATTTGTTAAGGTTCAAGGATATGGGACTCCATTTTGTAGTTTACATGTAAACTATTGTTTGTGTACTAGAAAACTCAGCAGGGCAGCTTTAACTTTCAATCCTGTGCTATCATCAGGTCAAACATTTCAAAGTTTAGTTTATGACCCAATTCCTGCAAAGCTAATGACATTCCCTTCAGCTGCTAACTGTTAGCATGCTGATGTTAGCCGCTTAGCCTTTGTACTCTTTCAGATTTAATAAAAGTGGTCTTACTTCCTAAAATGTTGATCTTGCGCCGCGTTTCCTCACACATAAAGTGTTTGATTAGATTGTAGGCCACGGGAAACATTTTGGGAGCTGCGGACAAAGACACAAACTGACAATCATGAACACTAACTAGAAGTCTGGAAAATGTAAAGACAAGTCTTCAGATCTGCCGAAGCACCTTTGATTAGAAAAACCCTTTTCAGGCCCTCTGGGTAATTCTCTTCAAACATGGTGAGGACCTGCACACGAGAATGTTGATCATTATAATGAAATACTTCTTTATTAAATTCAATGTGATGACATGTTGTGTTACAGTGTGGTCAAACCTCTCCATAAGTCTCTACAGCAGGTTTCCAGATGTGCTTCAGTCCGAGTCCTTCACAGTCGTAGATCAGAGAGATAGATTCAATGTGCTGCCCCAACTGAGACAGAGAGGGAGGAGGGTTAGGAGAGAGGAGGGGAAACAAGGAGGAGAACAAGGAGAAGAGAGGAAACAAGAGAGGAAAGACAAAAGGAAACTACAGAAGGAATTGAGGAGAGAAAACCTGGCGAAGAAAAGATGATAGGAGAGGCAACAAGACAAGTGGAGGCAAGACGAAACAAGGAAAGAGAGGAAAGGAAACAAGAGAGGAGAGGATGCAAAGAGGACACATAGAGAGGGTCGGAGAGGAGAGGTAACAATTGGATGTAAGATGTAAGAAAAAAGTAGGAGAGAATGGGGGGCGGAAACATGTATAAGAGGAGAGGAAATTAAAGGGAACAAGAAGAGAAGAAAGGAGAAGGAGAAGAAAAAGGAGAAGAGAGGAGGGGATGAGGTAATATTAGAAGAGGAGAGGAGACACAACTAAACAAGAGGACAGAAAGTAGGAAAGGAAACGAGATGAGACGAGAGGAAACAGGAGAGGAGAGGAGAGTGTCCCCCTCACCTTCTCAGACTGCCTCCTGCACTCCCTCCTCAGGATCTCTGTGTGTCTGATCTTGGTCTTCAGGAAGTCCTGCTTGGTGGCCGACATCAGGAGACCTTTAGGATCCATAGGACCAATCACATCGTACCAGATGGGACTCCCCTCCCTGTCGTACCCACACATCCCTCCAGACACATACTTCTCAATCACCTGATTAAAACAGGAAAACACACACAGTCTATATTTATTTTCATTTGTATTGCCAGCGGTGGAATTGTATTGTATTTAAGTACTTAATGCAAAACATGTAATTCCAGATTTGTTGATTTTGAATGTTTGTGTTAAACTGAAGGAGTTTAACACAAACAACTTCTACTTCCTAATCTAGATAACCTTTTAAAAACCCTCTTGGATCAGCTACATTGCATATTTAGCTATAATGGAAAGATATCTACTGTATAATAAGTTGTATGAATGTATTCAAGCATTCCAGACAAAGTGTATGTTAACAAGCCCTGCATACCTCTGGAGGTTTCCAGTCAGAGATGATGGTGTCTACGTTCATCTTCCTCCTGAACTCCACATGCTGCAGACAGAGAGGAGAGGTTTCAAACATGCTCACTAACCACATGCTGCATCCTTACAAGGTCAAACACACGACTGAGCCGTGTTTAAAGTTAGCTCACCTTTCTGATCATGGCTTCAGATTTCTGAACATTGAAGCTACGAGCTGCAAAAACAAATAAAACAATCTTCATTAGTAAAGCAGAGATATGATGCAGCAGTGGAAGTACATCCTCATATAAGTATACCTCAGGACAAAAATGAGGTTCTTTGGGACTGGAATATTCCACCAGCACGCTGTTTAGAATTGTAAATGAACACATCTGGATCATAAAGGAGTAAAGAAATACTTCATACAAAATGTGAACCATGGCATACCTCTTTCCTAATCATTACTCATTCATACTGTAAGTCCTGCAACATCTCAACACCAACAATGTCTGACAATCACACAATAGAAAGCATGACACAGTTCAGTATAAATTGCCTGTTTTTTTTATGCCAAGTAAAGAGAAAAGTCCAAGGTTAACAGCCAATGCAAATATTGATCAGAGTCCCTCCAATGATCTGAACCTCTTTGTACTCGGTTTAAAGCACAGAGTCCTGCATGTCCTGCATGTCCTGTCCCACAAACTACCAGCTCAATGTCCGTCGAGATAACATCAGAAATGACAAGAATTCCTGGTAAGAAGACCGAGGACCTGACTTCATTTGTAAAAAGTACGTCATAGGAACCTCTTTAAGTTGTATTAAGGAAGTAAGGCTTATTTTTCAAGGAGGAGAAAGTTCATCCAGTGACATCACTGCAGTTCAACTAAGGTCGAATTTAGTTCAAACATTTACTGTAAGATAAGACGGTTGAGCTGAGGTACTTCAATTGCTCTTTGCTCAATCAATACTACACAGTATGTTTCAGGGCCACAGGGTCAGGGGGGAGGGCAGTGTTTTAGGAAATAAATTAATGATTAAACAAATGAAGGTTGAACATTTTGTAACTTTTGAAAGACAGCAACGGAAACTGTTTTGAGGGGAACCTTAAGAAGTGATGCACATGGCTTGGACACACTTATCGTTCCACTGAGAAACACAATGCAGTTCATTTTCCAACACAACTGATGGATCGCTGACTTTTAGAACTTCATAACAAACACTAAACTCTGATTAATTATGTTTTCTCAACTTTCTGTGTGTTGAGCTCTGAGGGCCGTTATCGAATCTGGGAGGGATGAATTGTGGTCACTGTTAGATGTAAACCAACGAAAGATATTTGTTATGCTTTAACTTATCGTGACGAAGTAAACAGTACAACGTGATGGTTATACAAAATTGACACCATCAGTGTTTAGATTTATAAGATATTAAGTACGAGATACTTTACTTAAAGGGGACCTATCATGCAAAATGCACTTTTGTACGTCTTTTATACATGAATATGTGTCCCCGGTGTTCCAGGGAACTCACCAAGTGTCAGAAAACACAACCCTCTCTATTTTCCTCCATACCCAAATCTCTAAAAAAGGGGCTGCAACGGATCTGATAAAAACTGATCCAGATTTGAACACTGTCCTGGCGTCAGGACAGTGGCGCTACGGCTATTGGGCCAACTCCACCAATCAGGAGGAGACAGCCACGGCCATTGCCGTTCGAAAGCGCTGGAAACGCTGTAGTACATATGCCAGGCCTGTAGATGGTGCTGTTCTCACATAATCTGCCCTTGCAAAAACAGAGCTAACATTTTTCAAATTGAGCGAAATGAGGCATGGCTAAAATGCATGATCTGTTTGGTATTTTGAAAAAAAAAAGTATAAATATGCCTTGTATAGGTATGGTCCTACACTATATTATTCAAATATAGCATGATAGGTCCACTTTAAATATGTATTTCTTACTTGTTCCCTGTTGGTCTGGATACTACATTTTTCACTCGAAGTACGCTCTAAGTAAAATGGAAAACGCTCTTGTCTTTGCAAAGCAGCGGCTAACTATAATACCACTTGGAAACAGGATAGTTGAAACTTTTCTAACTCCACTGAAGAGGCTACTTTATAACCCCACTGTGAACAAATAAGACTGGTTTTAGAGAACCTGGCAACACACCTGTTCCCCTTTAATAATGCTAATTATTTCATGTATCATATGACCTCTAGTGATTCAATGCAGAACAATTACATTGTTATACTTTTACTTCAAGTAACTGAAACCCCCCCCATGCCTGGGTTTAACCTCACATGATAACACTGATCACTGACTGAGAGAACTTTCCTCTGGTGTTGTATTGGCTGCCATTCATCTAAATGTTTCAGCTGCCTGTGGTAGTTAATGCCAGAAACTACCCTCACTCTGGATCATCACAAAAAACAGTTCCCATGTTTTCACATGTCTGCAGGGCCAGATTCAGAGCAGGACTGAGGGAAATAGGGCTGCAGGCTTTAGTGGCTGTCAGAGAACTGATTTGATCCTCTTCAACTCACCACCCTCTTCTATGTTGCTTCCTTTAAAACAATAACCCCTCATTACTGCATGTCTAATGTTTTCTACATTTTCAATCCAATATTTTTGAACAATTTAAAAAGTATGCCAGTTGTCCTGCGTGTCAAACAGGTGTACTTAAAGTATTAAAAGTATTACAAATGTGTTGATATGTCCTGTTACGGATATCTGAATACAATACAAGTGCTGTAGCCTACTCAGGGTTTCTCATACGGATTCAAGGAGTCACCTTGTACTTGGTGGCTGGTTGTGTGAACGTTGTTTTGCCAGCATGGAACCCACACAGAGAAAAGGCTGAATGCTAAATGCTGCCTTTGCAGGTGTCTCACCTCGGAGGAAGCGGAGCAGGTAGTGATCGTGCTGCGCGGGGAGGCTGGGGAGGACGTCCTGGATCCTGCCCCGAAACTACACACAGGAAACCACAAGAAACATAACATTATCACAATATATATATATATATATATATTCATTAAGAAATAGTGAGACATTTTGGGAAATACAATTGTTCAAGAAACAAGATTAAAACAACTCTCATGTTTGTATGTAAATATGAAACTACTATCAGTTAGCTTAGCTTAGCAGAAGACAGGTGAAAACAGCTAGTCTGCGAAAAGGTAACACAATGATGTATGTTATTGGATTATCACTACTTACACATTGAAAGGCAATTACACTTTAGATTTGGAGATAGTTTTCACTTCAGTGTATAAGTTAGATTTATTAATATGAATACAATTTCATAATATCCCATTTTTCATATTAAGATGTTCATCTGAATATTAACCAAAGTCATAAAAGATATAGAAACACATGTAAAAAGCCTTTTTTAACTTTTTCTTCTGCAACTTTTCTCTTTTCTTTCCCTTCTTTCATTTAATACTGCAGTTATTCATAATCTTATTATGGTTTTTTTGTGCAAAGTTTTAATCTTGAGGAAAAAAAGCTGAATAAAAACTGCAGCATTCCCTAAATGTGGTAAAGTACACCTTGGAATACAATCTCAATACTAAAGTAAAGTACAAGCACCTCAGAAGTGTGTTTAAGTACAGTGTATGTACCACAGAGGTAAGAAAGTCTAATAATAAACAGACCGTGGAGAGTTGTAGTTACCATAGAATCCCTGTGAAACCACAACAAAAGCAACCACAGACACACAAAGGACGAAACACTCGTTCGGTATCAATGCATTAGTGAAATCATAGAAATCCTTGATTTGAAATGTGTTTACCTCAGTTAATATCTCAGCCTGCTTTGGGCTCAAGTCTCCAACTCGTCCACTCATGCCTGCTGTTGTTGTGTGCCTCTGTCCCAAACTGTGAATGAAACGCAGGCGAGGGAAACTGACAGGTAGAGGAAAAAACACCACGCCCCCATGTATACAAGCCCCCATGTGTATGTATGTACACACACACACACACACACACACACACACACACACACACACACACACACACACACACACACACACACACACACACACACACACACACACACACACACACACACACACACACACACACACACACACACACACACACACACACACACACACACACACACACACACACACACACACACACACACACACACGTCCAGTTGAGAACAAACTTTATTTAAATCATTGGTAGATTATTATTTAATGTCAAACCTGTTTGATCTGATTTGTATTACTACTGATAACTAATATATACATTAAACCGCAAAAGTGATGTCATGCAAAATGACCCATTGAAGTTACACATAGCTAGAACAATGTGTATTATATTAATGGATAACAATTATTATAAGTATTATAATTATTGATTTTATTGTTGCAGTTTGTAAAAGGTGATTTAATCAATCATCATTTATTTGTTGATTATATTTTGTAAAAAAAAAAAGTATTGAATAAATAGTTGAATACAAAAGTACAATAAGAAAATCAAGATACTCAAGTAAAGTATAAGTACCTTAACAGTTTACCTAAGTGCAGTACTTAGTAAAATTAGGTTGGGTTTTGATGGCTCTATTAAGATTATCATAGACATTTTTGAAATGGCAAATTAGACATTTGGTTTGAATTAAATTAGAGGTACCAAAGATTCCTGGGATTGAAAGATTACAAACAAATAGGTTTTCTTTTTATATAAAAGTCATTTTATTCTTTAAATACAGGAGCTATTCAGAAACGGATGATTAGGACCCAGATACCAGGTTCCCCAAATAAAAGCTGGTGCTTAGGAATAAATAGATGATTTACACAAAGCAACACAATCATAAATCACAAAGTACTACTCAAGAAGAAAGAAGAAAGAAATAATACTAATTGAACTTGCTAAAAAATGATTTCTCTGTTTGTAATGCTCAAAAGTTTATATAATAATAATAACGTGGGTGTCCTTTGTCAAAATCCATCAGCCGTCAGATAACATCAGGCTTGTTTTGAGGTTATTTGCACAGCAGGTGAAACACGTTGACCTTCCCACCGTTTGCTCAATGTAAAGCATCAAGACGCAGATCTCCACTCAAACCGATTTGTGTTTACTTCAAAGACTGATCAGGAAACTACCAAAATACATCAGATGGTGGGAAGGTGAGGATAGTGAAGATGGAGCTTAATGACACGGAAAACATATTTTATATCAGCTTGCTATATGATGTTTGAAAGTAGACGGGGCTAAGATGAGAAGAGATGATGTCACAGATACATGCACCAATCAGAAATAAGCAGAACATCTATCTGGTGGTGTGTTTGGTTCACTGTCAAGTTGGATTTTACACTTATTTACATATCTCCTAATGTTGATGCTAAACCTGAAATTTGAATTTTGGGGACCTTTTAAATATATATTAAAAAAATTATGGGGGCTTTAAGACAAATGCTTGCTGTAGGTGGAAATATACCAACCTGCATCACTACGCTTACCACTGACACTTTTTTCAGACATGGGTCCAACAGATTGTTAAGAACCAGTGATACATTAGAAATAAAAGCCATCCAATGCATGTAAAGTGTTACTGATGCCTGCATTACATTTGGTGCCATTCCATTTAGGAGATGTTGACATATCACTTTTGACCTGCGGGTGGCGCTAGACAAACGTCAGTAAGAATCATCCTCAGTATATATTTTAAGCCAATTCATCCGATTTATAACTGAGTAATGGCCACTCAATAAAATGAAGACTAATCTCTGATCATCACGACATTTTGAAATCTTCAAAGGATGTATATAATACAAAAGATAATAAAAAGTGAACATGAGTTGTAGAAAGCTTACGGCTGGTGTAAAGCTGCTTTTATTTAGATTTTTACACCTTTACTGTACATTCTTTATGCTTTGCATTTTGGGATTACACATTTTCCACCTTATGACAAAATTATATATTTTTTCTTTATTTCTGTGATTAACTGTCTAGTGTTTTTTTATTCCTCTCAGTGCTTCAAGGATGCTACACAAACTTCAAAATGAATGTAGCCTATTGTCCTATCAAAAATATGAACTCTTTTTGTTTTATTTTTACTTTTGTACCAATGATTCCAAAAATAACTCTTCATTGTTTTAAAAAGAAAACACCAAAACGAAACGAAATCTCTGCGCTTAAAGTTTTTCTTTTATACATTTAGACAAAAACTGAAAAGGGGGCTTCTGGGACGAGATGAAAAAACTGAGACTTGAATTCTGCAAAGCTACTTTAAACAGTGCATGCTAACCTGGATGCATTCTACAGGAATAAAACCTGTGTGCGCTCTTTAATTCTGAATGGAAAGATAATACTTTTATCATAAGTCCTGCCTTTAACCACATCACTCGTACGAGGATACTGGCATTTGAAACAAGCTTTACATTTGGTGATAAAGACAAGCTGTTGAAGCAAAAAGGGCGACGTTATCCCTGTTGTTATTGACTGATTAAAAACCTACATGTGACAGTGTTTTAACGGTTGGAAAGAGCCTTAAAGCTAATGGGAAATACATGAAATAAATACAAAATATATATAGCCCGCTTTGGATATTTTGATAAAACACTTTGAGTTCCTACTCCATACAAAACATGAGAGAACTTCTACTGCCCTCAGGACACACACAAGAGATGTCTTTAAGCATTTGTTAAATCATTTCCGGAAATCAACGCACTTTGCCGAGTTAGATAAGATATCACTCAGGTGTCTGTGCTCTAGATAAGAAGCTACAGACCGAAGCCGTTGGCTGTTTCTTTATATTTCACTAACAGATCGAGCAATCTCTTCTCTTGGCAAGAAAGCCAATAACGATATTTCTGGGTGATCTTTTCATTTAAAAGTGTTCACAAAAGCCTGTACATGTATAATTGCTTATTTTTAAAAATGCAAAAAAGTGTGAGATGACTTCAAAATGCTTACAGAGCCATATCATGTGATGTAAAGATCTCATCAGGTGTGCAAAATCTGATCATTTAACTCAAACCCTGAAGGAGACATCGTCAAATATCTTGTAGTAAAGAAATCATTGGTATTTCAGCCGTGAAAGAGGACGCTGTGCTGCTCATAAAGTAACACATGCTCGATCAGAAGTAAACATGTTTAGAAATTGTTAGCAGAAGCAGAAAATAAGAAAAGCAAAAAGTAATGCTAATGTTTTTAAATTAACTTGAGTTTGATCCATGACAGGATGCTCAAACACACCGGCCACATTCACTCTTAGCATGGAGAGGAAGCTCGAGATGGCTGATCACCTCTTGGATTATAAAGCCACATTTATCCTCCTGTGGAGATGAGCTGAGCTTCATCCGGACACACAACCTGTTACTGACACACAGCTGGCCTCATGGAAGGATCCGGAAATCCACTTAATTTCCTCAGATCAATAACTCATTTTATAGTCAGGATCTGTTGAACAATACATGTTTGGCAGGAGAAAAAATGTGTTTGACTTAAAAATCGCGATTATGGAGGAGTTTAAATACGTTACCTAAACACAAAATAAGCTCCTTGGTAAGTTAATATTCTTATCAACATATCACCATCATGTATGGCTGCAAATTTACAATAAGCTTTGACTATTTTTCATTCCTGTTACAACACTGTAAAATGTTACAACACTGTAAAATGTTCTCGTCCACCTCCATGACCTTCAGTCGATTTTGGTGGTCTTGCTTATCCACACATTTTGTTTCATTTATCACTTTTAAATGAGTTTTTGAGTTTGGTAATAGTTAACTGAAACAATGGTGGAAGGAAAACTTTACTAATAAAATGTCAGAAGTTTAGGACCCAAATGTTTTCCTGCATGAGGCCCGGAGTGTTCCTGTGCAGTGTCATCTTACCCCAGCATATGAGATGAGAGCATAGTACCTTGAGAGGAAATGAGATGCGATTTATTTTCATCCCTGCGGTTTTTAAGAGCGGGGCGAGCACCTGATCACACGTATCGCCTCCGAAGTACTGAAAACTACAGTCAGTAATATCCCTTGCTTTAATACCATCATTTCATTCAATAAGCCCATAAAATATAATAAATACATCCAAATGAGAGACATGTCGATAGAGCGCCTGTGGGAAACATTCACTGAGGAGCTCCGAGCTGACGGAGGCAGCAGGGAGCCTGGAAGGCAGAGCAGAAGAAACGGGCTGAAGAGCTTGGTTGTATTTGGTCATGTTGCGTAATCCTTGTTTAGTGTTAGGCTTCTTGTATTAAAGCAGCTTTGGTGAGCACGGAAAACACTTCGATAACAGAAAATCAGTTTACATCCCGCCGAAAGTACACTCCCAACCTCAGGGGGGGGAGTGTTGTGCCGCTGCGACTGGCTGCATGTCCAAACTGTGCAAACATGTTGCATGGCATGTCCCGCCAACATCTACAGCTTCTCTCTGTGCTCAGCCATCTCCAATACTTGTTTTAGTGTGTCTGCATGTGCATTAGATGGTGTGTGTGATGAAGAAGATGAACTCCATGTCCATGGCAGTCTGGGGGACACTGGCGCTCCCGCCATGGATGACGGGGATCAGAGCGCTGTCCAGCTCGTTCATGTAGCGCTGAGGGAGGAGCCGGCCCCCGCAGCCCGCCTGGTACTCTACCTGAGAGGAGCACAGGGGGATATTTAACACAGCTCTCCTTAATTAGGCAGAGGACATACTAAATACTTTACTGTGTAACATGTGGGGCTGTACCATTTGGATAAAATAACTAATGGCGATTATTTTGACTGATATTGCAATTGTAATTTGTATATAACAGGGAATGACCATTTTGTTAAGCATTATTTGCATCATCACTGAAAAAAATATGTATACATGTTAATAGTACTTTTTTTAAGAGGATCTGTACCAAAGAAGGCATTTT